TCCACACAGGAGGTCGCCTGAGAAGTCAGAAGAGACAGGCGATCACAAAGGATTTCAGCCAAGGGAAGGGCCTGGTACCACCTGCAGCCCCGCCGGATCCTGCTAACCACAGCCCACTGTGCCGAGGAGGAAGCAGTCTTGGTATCCGAGGGGCTTCAGAAAAGGCTGAAAGAATGTGGGCAAAAGTACTGCCAAGGTCGGGCGGATGTTGTGCTGGCCTCTCCCAAACCCCTACGGCCACCGGGCCAGGACTATTGCTGTGGCGGGGAAAGTCCCCATTGGTCACACACCAACTTAAAAGGCCTCCAGTTATCGCCCCTATTGATCCTATGCTGGTTTAGAGAAAACAAAAAAACAAAAATAAACACAAGAAGAATTTCTCCCCCTCCATAAAGATCCTTTCTGCTTGGCTATCATGGGGCGAAAAGCCTGTGGAGTAGTGAAAGGAGTGTCCAGGTGAGAGGACCAGCACGGGAAGGGTTCCCCTCTCCTCGCAGGGGGAGCGGGCCCCAGGTTCAGAAGCCCGAGAAGAGCGCGGCTGCGCGAGTGTCGTCGGAGGGTGGGAGAACGGCTCGCTACACTGACAGACAGTGGTGGGGGGCCCAAGGGCTCACGGCTGGGGAAGCTGAGATGGCAAGCCCACAGTCGGGCACCTGAAGGCCACAGGGGTCTGCCCAGTCACCTCCCTACTCTCAGCAGGTCTGCCTTTTCCCCATCAGACACACTTACACTGAAGGTTGGCAACGAACAGTACGTCCTTGGGGTGAGTGAGGGAGACAGAGCTTTGATGCTGTCACCACAAGTGACACCATGGGACCCGGCACATAGGACACACCTTCCACTGAGAGGAGACAACAGTGGCATAGAGTCCAGGGCACCCTGTCCTTACGGCAATGGTCACAACTGGATCTCACGGACTCATGCAGTCTCTGTGACAACCTGGATGTTTGGTGACACCACTGGGAAGAAGACGATGCAGGAGCCAGCAGGTGATGGGTGCGGAGCTTACAAGAGTGACAGAGGCCTGCTGAAGAGCCAGCAGTGTCCCAGGCAGAAGTTTGGCACGAATTTTTTCCTGGGGATCCTCCTCTGGGAGGAATATCACTAACAGAAAGGTAGGCTTGTGGAGCTGGGGTGGGCTGGCTGCTCAACTGCTGGAAGTGGGAGATGGCTACCTTCTGTCCCTCCCTCTCAGAGCGCTGGGTTATAAAGGGCAGTAGAGGGAACAGATTCCCACCACTGTAAGTCCTGGTGTGACCTGGGGCTTCCAACAGCTTAAAGAGAACACACCCACAGTTTAGAGTTGCTTTCTTGAGTTTTCCTGGCCAAACCCTGGTCTTCCTCTTCCAGGTGGTTCTTCACCTCTGTTCATTTCCAAGGCCCAAGGGCTGGCCAGGAGCAGCCCACCAGAGAGTCCGGCAGCGCCTGCGTCTGGTGGGGAGGTGGCCCCGAGGCCTCCTTCTGCCTTCATGTCCCCGTTCCAGGAGAAATCCCCAAATTCTCCATGGGAAGGCAGGCCTTCTCTGGGCAAGTGAGGTGTTAAAAGCAGAGCTGAGAAATGGGTAAACGACAGGGAAAAATAAAGGACAAAAACAAAATAGCTCCCTAACCCCTTATAAAAATTAAAAATGAAATTTATACATATGCTTTGTCCATATTGAATTTCTTTAAAGAAATGGGTGCCTGTCCATAGCACAGCTTCTGCTCTTTTGAAGTTTCAATTGTTTAAATTAAAAAAGAAAACAAGAGGAAAAAAAGAGGAAGATAAAAAAAATTAAGCAAAACAAAAGAAGGGGGAAAATCCAAACAAAAGCTTCACATTGCTGGATGTCCAGCTGTCGGGAGATTGCCAACCGGTCAAGCCACCACCTGTACCCTCTGCCGTCCTCTGTGCGAGACAGGATGAGACTGTGGGTCCCGAGGATCAGTCTGGAAGACAGAAGGCAGGGAACAAGTGGACAATGGTCAGTGAGCTTGAGGTGCCCTGTCTCCAAGCTCTAGGTCCCCACTAGGTGCCAGAACCCAACCCGAATGAAATCAGGAGCTGTGATGTGCTGGGGTCTGAGGAGGTTTCTAAATACTTTATCTGGAGTAAATCTGGCTTTATTAGTTACTACCCCCTGCTGTAGACACACATGATGCTTACTTTTCAGATAAGGAAACGGAGGTGCAGGTTAAGAAATGTGCCTAAGGTCGCATGGACTGAAGGGCTGGGGACCCAGGCATGCTGGCACCAGCTACAGATCCGGTCGCGAATCCCGCCCCTCTCTAAAGGCTTCCTGTACTGTTAGGAAAAATGCCACTGAACCCTAGCCTACGGTCCCCGCAGGGCCAGGCAGCCCCAGTTCTCCTCATACTTCCGTCCCCACCCTCTCTGACTAATGGTGCTATCCTGCAAGTTCAAAGCAACTCTCAAGTTTATTTATCTAGTGCTAGGTAGCCAGGGTTCTTCTGCAGTCGAGGGCCCAAGTCCCACAGCTAGGGACAGTGTTGGGTGCAGAGCCACCTGCTCAGCCCATCACTGCAGTGACGCACCGCTGTGGTCAGGTACAAGGTTCTGGAGCCAGAGCTTGTGGCTCAGTCAACAGGCTCTGCCACTTGACTGTGGGCAAACTGAAGTCCTCTGTTCCTCGGTCTAAATCACAGGTTCTCATGAGGACCAAATGAATTAATACATGTAAAACTTAGAATAGTACCTGGCACTATTATTACTTGGTAATCGCCTTGGTGCTGGGCCTCCGGGACAAGACAAAGCACCCCGCCCTTCAGGGACCTGTTCCAGGGGAGGCCTAGAATACAAGCACCTGCAGAGATTAGCCTTGGGCCACCCCCTACTCCAGACTGGTTCTCCGAGTCTGGGCCTGATCAGAACTAAGTACAGCCCTATGCTAGGCAGGGCAGCAGCGCCCCATCTGCACTGCACCTAAGTCACCTAAGAGCTTCACAGTGCCCGCTCTCACCCTGAACGACTGAATCAGACAAGTCTTTCCCTGTGGGCTTGAAGTCCCCCCACTGGCTCTATAAGCTCTCTGCAGCGTGAAAGGTGCCCCCTCCCAGCCCAGTGCCCTCCTCACCATTACGTGCCACATGTGCAGTCTGACAACACTGGCCCATTGTCCTCAGGTCCTGGGGAGACGCCTGGCTAGTCCTCACGAGAGGCAGTGGGGTACGGCGACGCTGGACCATTTACTTCCTATCCGTCAGCCTCAGTTTTCTTCTCTGAGGTTGGTGGGGGGTGGGGCTCTAATAACTAAAGAGTACCTGCCCCACAACTGGAACTGACATACTCTCTGAGTCCATCCTCGCCAGCCATTTGTCCCCACCAGGAGTGATGAGCGTGTTATTGGGTTGTTGGAAAAGTCATGACGTATTTTTTCTATGTTTTCCAATTGCAAAAATGCGTCATGACTTTTCCGAAAACCCAACAGATTTCAACAGGCCATGGTCTCAGCCATTTAGCCATTAACACTGCTCGTAGCTGGGTGAGGGTGCCACGCAAAGGGCACACACCCCACCGGGAGGGGGTAAGTAACAAAGCCTTTTGGAGAGCAATTTGGCGATGCGTTTTCAGAGCTACAGAAGTGTTCTGACCTGTAGACCCTGCAATTCCACTTCTGGAAATGTAGATGAACCGATAATCCTAAATATGAAAAGGGCTTAATGAATAAAGATGTTCATTAAAGTATATTTAAATTATGAGGCAACAACTCATAAATCAAAAAATAGGAGACCTAAGCAAATGATCCATCCAGTGATATTTACAGAGGAAATGAGAAGGCTGTGTGGCATTTTGAACAACATGATGGCAGAAGTACGTCCTGGGTTATTGTGAAAAAGTAGCTACCAAGTTCTGTGGCATGTAGTATATGACCATAACTATGCAAAACACAAAATCCTCCAACTACAGGAAAATGTGGCAAAAAAAGACATCTCAATGTTGTACTTGTCGTGTGTTTTCTTCTCCCCCCCTTTTCCTCTGTATTTTTAGTATTGAGTACACATCACATGTCACACTCTACTTTGCAATGGGAAAAACAGCGTACTCTAATCAACAAGAAAAGCTGGCAGCTCTGACAGAAAGGTCCTTGGAGTAGCAGGTGGTCCAAGAAACCAGACCTGGGCTCTTCCACATGCGGTGCACATGGAGAGCTTCCCATGCCTGTCAGATGAGAGGTGAGACCACGGTTCCCTCCTCCGCAGTACAGGTGAGGTGACCCAGCTTCTGTGTGTCAAGTGGGGATGGATGATAAAAGAACCGGAAAGGTATTTGACCTGGAAAGAAAATACAGGATTTTTCAGGCCCAACCTTTCCCTCCACTGTTTGTTTCCTTGCCTATTCAGTGCTTTCAACAAAAGCCCAATAGTGGGTCTTGTGTCTCAGCTTTTGACTTGGAAAAATCAAGTTAGCATACGCACGTCCCGTGACGCTCCGGTAGCCATCTCAAATGCAGCTTTCTTGAGCATACCTCTTGCCTTCTCCTCGTGCTTTCAGTAGACAAAGCAATCAGAAGAAGGGGGGAAGGCAAAGCTAGTGGGGACCTTACCATCCAAGACACTCTAAGTCCTTGTGAAGTATGACAAGAAAAGCCCAGGAAGCTGTATGCTCATGTGTGATCCGCTGAGACAATATCTGGGACCAGTAATGACCTTTCCAGCACCGCTTTCCTCCTTCCTCTGGTAGGACCCACACTGAGGACCTCCTCCTCAACAGGATGATTGGCAGCAGGAAAGTGGCCCATGGCAGCTGAAAAGCGGTGGTGTGGCCATGGAGGCAGAGAGATTCAGAAGCCAGTCCCTTTGTACATAATAACCTGGTGGAGCAGAGTGTGACCGCAGAAGGTCAAGCCAATACCGCAGTGCCCTGTAAGAGCTCCTGGCACACCAGCGTGTAATGACCGCTGTCATCACTGGACTTGCCAGGAAGCGAGGCTGACATTTCCCACAGGCTCCTCCACCCTCCTTCCAGCTTTCGCCCTGGCTCTGGCCCGGCTGGTAGGATGCCTCGGGACGGCCCACAAGTCTGCGGGCTTCTCCCTTGTGCAGCGACAGGAAAATGAGAGGGCGCGCTCTTCTGTGGAGAGCACCCGGAGTTTGAATCCTTCTCCCATCCCCACTAGAGAAAGTACACCTTTTCCCAGGGAGCCAATGGCAACAACCTCACTGGGAGACAGTGGGGCCCCTTTCTATGGCCGAATGGCTCAGACTGTACAGTTCTGGATTGCAGACCCTCCCAAGGCACTTAATGGAACAGTCAATGGTGTAGGTCCCAGCCCTGGTGGGTCCTCAAAATTCATCCTGGAGGGGCCATGCCTCAGCTCCCTGAATGCCCAGGCTGTGGCTTGACTGCTCAGTTACCAGCTTCAACCAGGGCTTGCCTTGCCCCTTTCAGTGGAACCGCCACCTCTGACCAGAGCCCTCCCTGGAGGGCAAAGCCATACCCGCTGAGAAAAATGAAAAATGGTGTGATAAACCTGCAGATGACATCTGTAGTGCACTCCATCCATCACCTTCCTCATCACCTCACCTTGTGAGGATGTATTTGCCCTGTGTTGAGGAGGGAGTAGGCCCAGAGAGATGGAACAACTTAGCCCACTCACATCACAGAGCTGCTGAGCAGAACCAGCACTTACTCCCAACTTTCGCAGCCCCAAGTCACCCCACTATGAGTCTTCACCGGTGCTTTCAGAGCTGCTCAGCCAGTGGCTCTAATAGCCTGCATTCGATATGGTCTTGAGGGCGGGGAAGGTGCCAGTCATCGGGGAAGGTGTGTTGGCACATTCTCCCCTTTCTTATTTCAGCTCGCGGAGTAAGTTCCCTCAGCACCCCAGACCTTATTTCTCTACAATTACCATCACATCAGTGACTTGTCAAGCATTTCACGTGTGCCGGGCATCTATCTAGGAAGAACCCTTTCTACGTGACAGCTTCGTCGGGCTACTGTCAATGCTCCTCCACTGCTTTCCACTCACCGCGTCCCGAAGTGGACCAAGTGTCTTACACCCACCGCCTCGTTTCATCCGACAACTGTGTGAGGGAGGAGCTGGTCATCCGGGTTTAGAGATGAGGCAACAAGCTCAGGGAGAAGGCCTGCCCGGCTAAGAAGTGGTAGACAAAAGGGGTTGAACCTAGGCCTGTCCCGCTCCCAAGAGTCTGCTTTCAACATGTAACTTTGTGATGCAAGATCCCCTCCTCCAGAGACAAGGAGAGCTTCAGCGCAGTGTCTAACCTATTTAAGCCTTTCATTTATAAACAGATTCACTCCGAAAAAGGCTCACAGGAGGCTTGGTGTAGGCACCTCTGCACAGGTCTGGCGGCCAGAGCACAATGGCGGGTGTGGTGTCAACTAGGCAGTGAGGAGCTTTCTGGCAAATTCTTCCGCCAGCCAAGCAGTTGTCTGGCCTGTTCAAGGAGACTGGGAAACCCAACGGCTCCCATTATGGCCACTAGCAGTGTGGAGGGCAGAAGCTGGGGAGAGCTGTGGTGAGAACAAGTGATGATGGGGCCAGGGGCTGAATGGGCCCACATACAGAAAAGAAAGTCATCCGGGTTGCGTGCTCACAGACCAAAGCACAGTATAAACTCAAATTGAGGTGTTAACTGGGTGGGGAGCCAAGAACTCACCCTTACCTAAATCCTCCCTGCAGTCCTGTGCGTCCTGTGTGGTGCTATTATCACTGTAACTAATGATACCTTTGAATATGCTAGACACCATGCAAGGCTTAATTTGCAAACCAAGGACCATGTAGGAATTCTCTCCATTTTACAGATGAGCACACTGAGGCTCCGGGATTAATTTTTGGCATGTCATGCTGTGGGAGGCACAGTGGGAAGGTAATCTCTCAGGGTCACAGAGGGCAGGCCTCTCCTTCTCAATAGGATTAGCTTCAAAATGAGTCATTCTTCACTTGTTTAATACACCAAACAAAGCAGCTGGCTTTTCATACTCAGTGATCAACACGCCAGCCCTGGGGGGGTTCAGTGGCCCCAGCACTACTGTCAATTCCAATCTGTCAGAGGGGCTGAGGCCGAGCTTTCTGACGCATCATTCCTGTAAGCCTTAGCTGGCAACAGTGGTGTTAAGAGTAGGGCAAAACCAGGAATGACTATGCCGTGAGCAGGCCCCGGGGTAGTACGTGGGGGTCCTGTTGTCAGGGTTGAAAAAATGGAGGGAGAGACGACACATGGGGCAACAACGTTTTCAGTCTTCAGGTCTACAGACGGGCGTGGATGATGATGGGAAAAGGGAACAAGAGGCTGGAGATTATCGAAGCATCGCACCAGGCTCCTCGGCAGCCACGAGCTCCAGAAGGCCGGGGGCGCCATGCTTATACGATGTGGTCTTTGAGCCCTGGCCAGGAGAGCAAAGCCAGGTGGAAATTCAGGAGCAGGTCCCAAATATGGGGGTGGGAGGAGCATCATTCGGAGAGCGTGTGTTACAGAATGGCAACGGGCTGGTGCTGTCAAGGACGCGCGCTTTAGAGTAGGCAGACCTAAAACGCATACCCCAGCTCTATCAATCACTAGCTTTGATCCTGACCACGTCAAGGCCCTCTGAGCCTCAGTTTTCTCACCTTACAATGTGGAAATGTCTACCTTGCAGGGTGCGAAGTCCAGTGACGGTATTTGTAATGGGTACAATGAGGCACCCACGGAGGTACTTAATAAGCTGAGATGGCAGCTTTAAATCACAGCCAAAAAATAACAACAAAAACAAAAGCTCACAATCATCACTGGCTCAAGCAAAAATTCCAGACAAGACGACTCAGCCTCCAGTCTTCTCTAAGGTGACAGCCTCCTTCCTGCTCTGGGCCTCAGCAACTGCTGCTCTGGCTGCGCACGCCACCCACTCCACTTCCCCAACCGGTCCCCTCACTGTGCGGACGCTCAGGTGGCACTCACCCTCCCAGGCCCCCTCCACATGCCTCTTCCCAGGAACCGGTCCCAGAGGAGCAGTGTCCTGTCCTCCAGTGAGCAGTCCGGGAATAACCACAGACGCCCCAACAACCATACTGTGTGTGCCTTTCTTACCCCTTCCTCACCACAAGCTCCCTTAGAGGTGGGGACAGTCTCCCGCTTGTCTTAAGCCTTCAGGCTGCCAAACACAGGAGGAACTCAAATACTGGGTGATCGACAGAAACTGGGAGCTGGTGTAGAGCAATAAAAAACTAATTTACCAACTTCGCAGAATCATTCATTCAGTACGACAGGATTTTAATATAAAAATTTGGTTATAAAAATCGCTGCCTTTGGTTGAGTTCTCACTGAACACCCCAAGCAGCCAGGGGGAGAGAAGGCCAGGCCACTCACTTCACTGGGCTCCAGCAGCGGGCAAGCGGGGAGTCAGGGTTTTGTCTGTTACTTTTCTCGCGCACTGCACCGTGCCGTTCCCCTCGCCACACCTTCAGAGCTGGGCGGGGGCAACGAGGCACACAGGGGTGAAGGGTCTTCCTGCCACGGCACAGCCTACCGCCTAGAGAACCAGGAAGCTCCTACGAGGCCGCCCACCCTCAGAGGGGAAGAACGCAGCCAGACTGTCTGCAAACGCAGGCCGCTTCATCTGGAGATGAGCCTGACCCCCAGCCGCAGCGAGGTGGAGCTGGCCCGGCTTCAGAGTACAACCCTGGGTCTATGTCAGTCACA